GGCTCCGTGATGACCCCTGCCAGCTCCCTCAACACCCTTGGGTGGAGGGCATCTGGACCTGCAGATTTAAAAATGTCTAGCCCTTCCAGAAGATCCCTAACTACATCTGTGTTGACTGAAGGCCTGACAGAGCTATCCCCAAGATTGTCCCTACCTCTGGTAGGTGGGATATCCTGGTCCCTGTTCAAGAAAACAGATGCAAAGAAACTGTTAAGAGTATCAGCTTTCTTGTGTAGCGTAGCCACAAGATTACCGTTTGCGTTTTGCAGGGGCCCTACATTGCCTGGTGCCCTCTTCTTGCTCCCAATGTACCTGAAAAAGGACTTTTTGTTGTCCTTAATCCTGGACAATAGCCTGAGTTCCATCTCTACTTTGACCTTACTAATAGCCCTCCTACACTCCCGGGCTGAGGAGGAGTACTCCTCCTTGGTGATAGCTCCTCCCTTCCACTGGGTGTACACCCCGATTTTAGTCCTCAGGCATTGCTGAATGCCCTTGCTTAGCCAAGGTGGTTTCTGAGCACTCTTACCCCACTAACTTCTCTCAGGGACTGTTATCCTTTGGGTCTGGAGGATCGCCCCCTTAAGGTACGACCATCCCTCGTGGACTCCCATCTCCTCTACCTTCTGGGCCCTCAGTGCCTCCCCCACTAGTCTCCTAAGATCATTGAAGTTGGCCCTTCTGAAGTCAAGCTTTAGCCTTGATGTGAGCCCTTGACGCCCTGCGTTGGATAGTGAAATCCAGCAAGTGATGATTGCTGTTGCCCAGATGGTCAAGGACCTGCAGTCCCCTCACCAGGTCATCCCCCGGGGCCAGGACCAGGTCCAGCAAGGCATCTCCCCTAGTGGGGCTGTGCACTTCCTGGATAAGGTGAAGGTCCTGTAATACAGCCAGGAACCTACGCAAGCGGTCAGACCTGGCTGTCTGCTCCTCCCAGCAAATGTCTGGGTAATTTAGGTCACCCATGACAATAACATCCCTTGACCTAACCGCCTCCATAAGCTGACTGGAGAAGTCCTGGTCCAGCTCTTCCCCCTGGTTGGGTGTTCTGTAGTAGACACCCACCGTAAGGTCCCTTTCGCCATGACCCCCTTGTAGTTTGACCCATGGTGTCTCTGCCCGACCCTCCTCTAACCCGAAGCTAATCCTTGATGAAGCGAGGTGCTCTTTGACATAGAGCGCAACCCCCCCACCTTTCCTCTCTGTCCTGTCTCTTCTATATAGGGTGTATCCCTGAATGCCCGCCGCCCAGTAGTAGGTAGGATCCCACCAGGTTTCTGTGAGCCCTACTAAGTCTGGGTTCTTACTCGCAATCAGGAGGCACAGTTCCTCCTGCTTACTCCCCATACTACAAGCATTAGTGTTGAGGCACCTGAGGCCTCCTGAGGGTGCACGCCTCCCTCCCACTCCCAGGCCTTGTTCTGGGCTTCATGACAATTGTTGGGGTGTCCCAAAACTTCAGTCCTTTCTAGTGCTACTTAGGTCACTTAAGCCTCACACACACACACACGTATATATATGTATATGTTTCACTTCTAATCATTCTTCCAGCATCTTCAATGGAATTTGGATCACACCCTAAGTTAGTATCTGGCAAAGAACCCTCCTTTTTGTCCATCTCCAAGAGAAATGCCTGAAATGAGATCAGAACTAGTTAAGAGGAAAAATAAAACCCAGATAATTAAATAATTCACATGCAAAAAAGGATTATTTGTTTCATTGTAAAGCAACATTTACTTCATTGTGATGCTTTGTATGATTATAGGTGTGCAACAACCATGGCAACTGTCACTGCAACTATGGATGGGCTCCCCCTTTCTGTGACAGATCAGGTTATGGTGGCAGTATTGACAGTGGTCCAACTCATATAGGTAGGATGCCAATGCAGTCTGGCTACACCTGGTTAAAATAAGCTATTACTGTTTACTGTTCTCTTACCTTCTCCTCCTCTTTATTTTCATTATGGTATTGCTCAGGAAACCCAGTCATGGACTGATTGACTTCAAAGCAGGTCATCCAATAGGGAACTTGGCCTAATGTCTGTTCTTTATTAGTAAACTTTCAAAAAAAAATCTTCTCTCTTGCTACCAAAAATATACTGATTCTTTATATCTGATGGCTATAGACTTGTTGAATGCTTACTTATGTTGAATGAGAGGCAGATCTGTTTACATCACAGATATTCATGAAGATTAAAGTATTGGAACTAACCCTGCACTCCTTAGTTACAAGAGTCCCACTGAAATTAGTGGGATTATACAGAAGCATAAAGCAAGCAGGATTGAAGCACATTTCAGAAATGGGATTAGTAATGGAAAAGATGGCATTTTTGCTTTATTTCTGTAGACTTCATTCAACGCATTAAACAAAACTTTTCTTCTTTTTTTATACACAGTTGTGATCCATAATTTTTTTTTAAAATCTATTGATTTGTTAATTTGAGAATAAAAGTGACCTGCTCTTGAATCATAGAATCATAGAATTATAGAAGTAGGGTCAGAAGGGACCTTGTAGATCTTCAAGTCTGACCCCCTGCCTGGGCAGGAGAGAAACTGGGCTCAAGTGACCCCAGCCATGTAGGCATCGAGCTGCTTCTTAAAGACCCCCAGGGTAGGAGCCAGCACCACTTCCCTTGGAAGTTGGTTCCAGATCCTAGCCGCCCTGACTGTGAAGTAGTTCCTACGGATGTCTAATCTAAACCTACTCTCCAACAACTTGTGGCCGTTATTTCTTGTTATCCCGGGGGGTGCTGGGGGAAACAAGGTCTCCCCCAAACCCTTCTGGTCCCCCCTAGTGAGTTTATAGATGGTCACAAGGTCCCCCCTCAGCCTTCTCTTGTGAAGGCTGAACAGGTTCAGGTCCCGTAGCCTCTCATTGTAGGGTCTGCCCTGCTGTCCCTGGATCATGCGGGTGGCCCTCCTCTGGACCCTCTCAATGTTGTCCACATCCCTCTTGAAGTGGGGCACCCAGAACTGGACACAGTACTCCAGCTGTGGCCTGACCAGTGTGGCGTAGAGGGGGAGGATCACCTCCTTGGCCCTACTTGAGATGCACCTGTGGATGCACGATAGGGTCCGGTTAGCCCTGCAGACCGTGACCTCGCATTGTTGGCCCATGTTCATCTTGGAGTCAGTGATGACTCCAAGATCCCTTTCTGCCTCCGTGCTCTCAAGAAGGGAGTTTCCCATCTTATAAGTGTGTTGCCGGTTACTACTGCCCAAGTGCAGCAGCCTGCACTTGTCCGCATTGAAACACATCCTGTTTTTGTCAGCCCACCCTTGCAACCTATCCAGGTCTTTCTGCAGTCTTTCCTTCCCTACTAGCGTGCCCACCTCACCCCAGATTTTGGTATCATCAGCGAATTTGAACAGGTTGCTTTTCACCCCATCGTCCAAATCGCTGATAAAGAAATTGAACAGTGCGGGCCCAAGGACCGAGCCCTGGGGGACTCCGCTGCCCACTTCCCCCCAGGTCGAATATGACCCATCCACCACCACACTCTGCGTACAACCCTTCAGCCAATTAGCAATCCATCTGACTGTGGATTTGTTTTCTTTAAAAAAGTGACTCTCAAAAATAATGAAAACTAGATTGATGCTATTGCCTTTTTACTTTAAAAAATGAAATAATATTCATAATTCTTGGAAATTTAAACTTAGAGAAAAAAGAAAATTTGCATATTCCTTTTCTCTCTCAGAAGAAAACAGCTTCTGACTTTTTGTGGCTAAATTCTAAATTTCTGATTAATTGTCTAAGTTATGTCAAATTTAGTGAAGCTTCAAATAATTATCATGATCTATTATTAGGATCAGAAGAACATGTGCCATAGTGAATTAGACCACTTGTCTGCCTCGCCTCATATTGTCTGTCTGGCAATGGCAGAAGCGGGTGTTATACAGGGAGAACACTGAACCAGATATCTTTAGAGTGATCTGTACCCTATTCAGTACTCTCCCTGACATCCACCTTGTATTGGTTTAGAGATGCCACAGGAAACATCTCCAACCCTTTTTATTCAATAGCAATTAATACGTGTATCTTCCATGAATTCATCCAGTCCCTTCTTGAATCTGGCTATGCTGTCTGCCTCTACCACCTCCTGTGGCAATTAATTCTACCAGTTAACTATGCATTGTGTATAAAAAAAATACTTTCTCGTGTTAGTTATAAACCTGTCACTAATTTCAGTGGGTGTCTCCTAGTTTTAGTATTCTGGCACTTGGTGAACAACAGTTCCCTGTTCACTTGGTCCACACCCTTTATGATTTTATAGACCTTGGTCATATCCTGCCTCAGTCTTGTTTCCAAACTGAAGAGTCCTAGCCTTTTTCGTCTTTCCTGGTATGGCAACTGCTCCAGGGCCCTGATCATTTTGGTTGCCCTTGTCTGTACCCTAGATTATTTAGAAGAGGCTTGCTGCAGCAAAATGTTTGTGTAATGAAGTTACATAAGTTTGTTAACCTGTGTTGTTTGCATTATTTTTCTTTAGATACATCACTTCGAGATGGCCTGCTTGTGTTTTTCCTATTTGTAGTTCCAGTTTTGATTGGTATTGTCATAGCATTCATCAAGCGAGATGCAATTAAAAGGAAGTTTTGCAGGAAAAGCAGAAGACAACCCAGGTATTCCAAATGTGTCCTCGTCACAACCAGTGCCATGGTTGTTTCAATTTGGGTCTTAGAGTGGTTCATATTATGAATGTTATAATGTTAAATTAATTCAGCATCGGTGGAACTATTCTGGTTTGAGCAATAATAGAAAATAATTGTCAAAATACCCAATATGAAAGACTGAGGCAAAGTGTCAGCATTCTCTCCGAGCTATTTAAATTAGTTTCCCCAGATTTTGCAGCTTGTGATGGGATGACATAGAATTCTTGGGGCAATGAGGCATCATCTGTGTAAATAAAGTTAGCTTAAGAAAAGGTCAATAATATTCTTCTACATTTTGTCAGTTAAAGATGGCCTTTTGTCTGTTTTTAAGTGCAGCCAGTCCCAAATATGCCTCGCTTTTTCTGCCTATATTATATAATGTTTTAGTAAGGGAAACTGGATCTCCCGTTGTTTTTTATTTCTTTGGGATAATAATAAACTAATTCTGGGTTTTTTGACTAGACACAATGATATGGTCCGTTTAACAAGGATTATTGTGTTAAAATAATGTAAGCTATTCTGTATAAGTAAGGATCAGTGTATCAGTTAGGATATTGGTTGGAAAAGATTATTAGTAAAGTTTGAAAGAAACCTAGAACTTATGGTAAGCTGTTCACTTTGACAGTTCATTGCAAATAAGTGATCATCCAGAAATCTCCAGAAATAAGTGGAAATCATACCAACATTTGGAGATCTAATATTATTTGTTAGTGCCTTAGTTCAAGATAGTCTCTGTTATTTTTGAAAGGTGATCAGTATGTGATGGAAGAAGGTAGAAACTTAGACTCCAGATCTGACTGTAGAGCCAGCACGTCTCTAGGTGGGAGCTTCAGTCCAGTCTTCAACAAGTTGTAATTTGCCATTCAAAAGGAACTGTTATTTAAAAATTGGAGCTTTTGGGGTTTTTTGAATGAAAATTAAGATTATCTGTGAAACAGCCAATTTTATAGAAACATCTTAAATTGTGCAATATTTAATTTTTATCTGTCCCACACAATGCTCCATTGATGATGCTTTGAGCTCGTTCACAAACTGCTGTTCAGTTCCTGATATGCCACCTAGATATGTGCCTAACAAAGAGCTACATGAAATCCACACATGTAAACTCTGTACCTCCAAAACACTGAGCCAGATTTTGTCCTAAATTTTACCTCAAGATTTGATGCATGGAGATGTTTGGTTTTCTTATGAAGCATAAGTCTGTGACTCTTCTAGGAACCTTTGTTTTAATTAACACTCTAATCCATCTCCTCTAGTCATTTCCCCAGTGTCCATTTCTAGTAAGTTTTGTATTTACTTATATTTGTATTTGTGTTACATTAGCAGCTGGATCCAGGCTCCAATGTAACAGGCACTGTGCAGGGTGCAAACAGAAGTGAGAATTGTCACCCAATCTGGCCACAGAAAGCAGTTTATAGCCAAGACCAAACACGAGGGCATGGCTGCAGACGGCTGCAAAAATGGCTATTTGGGTGAAAATCTGACCTGACCCCTTATTATATGAGGGGTCAGATCAAGATGTTTCAAAACGGACCGTCTTCTGTAACTTCTGTCTGCCCTGCCTGCCAGCGTCAAGCTGTTTTCAGAATGGGAAGGGGAAAAGGGAGCAAAGGAAGTTTGGTTTGGGGGACTTTCAGCCCCGACTGGAGGGTGGGCAGGTGTATTGGAGCCTCCACCTTGTGAGGAGCAATTCCCTACCTCACCCTCCAGCGCTGGCATGGGAACCCCTAGAACAAGCTCTCTTTCCCCCTTCCCATTCTGAAACAGGGACAGGCTAGGAGAGAGAGGGGCTGTTGCTAGGGGAAACTGGCTGGAGGCTCCCAGCCAGCAGCTAACTTCCCCTCCCCCTGAAACCAACAGTAAACTTATTGCAAAGCATTCTCAGTTACAGTGGGGAGTTGCACTTCTGTCTGCACCCTGTGTAAATATATGGCAGGAAGCAATCTCTGCTACAAAGAACTTACAGTCTAAATAGGCATCCCAGACAAAGTGTGGGAAGGGAAACATAAGCCCAGAGAAGTAAAGTAACCTGCCTATGGTCACAGAGGAGCAGAGCCAGGAAGAGAACCCAAGTCTCTGAGCTCTGCCTCAGCTACTGCAGGGCTGAATTGCACTATACTTACATGTATTTAGGTGATTTTTTTCTTATGATATGAATTTTATTTTAGGGCTAACAATACACAGCAAGCAAGACAAAGTAATGGACCAAACCAGAATGCCACAAGAAATGATTGGGTAAGACTCCACATGTGATGATCACGATGCCTCCTGTTGACTAAATTCCAGGGGGAAATTGCACTATTTAGGGCAAAAGAAAAATGAACAAGTTCACCCACTGTCCATGATGCTGGCTAGAAGTGCCTTCCAGAGCCTAAGTTAGAAGCATTTAAGGGCACATCCATACGAGTGCGCACATGTGCATTGCAGGATCTCAAATGCACTCCGCACACATGATTTTCACGTGGAGCCAAATTTAGATACTGGGAAATCCCAGTATCAAAAAAACCTTAATCAAAGGAAAGCAGGATGGCACACATGGCATCAGCATGTGCTGCCCGAAACTAGAGCCTGGCTGGCCAGAGCTACGCTCCAGCTGCTGGCCAAGCTTCATGTGCCTGGATTGCCACCACTGCAGACCCCAAAATCCCCAGGGATCCAGGTAAGGCTGCTGGGGCCAGCCCAGGTGCCGGTCTCAGCCTCCCCTACCTCATCCAGGGCAATTTGCCCTGTGCCAGAGCATGTGTGCAGGGGTGTTCCCCGGGGACAACTGGGAGCAGCACAAATATGTCCCACTGCTAGTTGTCCCCAGGGAGATGCACATATGTGTTCATCTGGATGTGTCCTCAGGTGTCAAGCTAGATTTTGCCCAAAGTGATTTACCTTGTTTCTGAAAATTAGGTACCAACCTGGACTAGTGCTTAGATAGCCTAACTCCTGGTCCTGAACCATTTTGCTGCAACAAGCATCTTCTAAATAATTTAGGGTACAGACAAGGGCAACCAAAAGGACCAGGAGTTAGCACAAAACCCTTGCTTAACTCTCTTCGTGTCAACCTTTTTTTCTCTTACCATCTTTCATGTCTCTTTGTTTCTAACTCCCATACTTTCTTCAACTGCACTTTCTGTTACTAGATTTTTAAAGTGCCATGGGGTTGCTTGAATAATAACCTAGTCCCAGCCTACTTCTTGACTTTCCCTATAAATTAGCATGAAAATCGCAAGACTGCCACTTTCTAATTACCCTTGTTTCACAGCAAGTCATAATCTAACAGGAGGAAGATTTGGTGGACCAATAGATCTGGGTCCTGTTTCCACTAGTACTGCAAACTCTGTGTGAGACTTTGGGTCCTTTTTTTTTTCTTATCTGTATAATGGCACTGATGATGTTTTCAGATATCAAGGGGGAGATGTGGGTCTCAGTGCATTAACTTTTGCAAAGCACTTTAAAATTCATGGAAGATCCTACGTGGTTGCAAAGTAGTATTAAATCCTGCACTATTTTAAAAATTGTATTTTGATAAACCTGACAGTGCTTTATAACATGACATCTACTCTTAACCTGGTTTTCTATAACTTCTTTTTCAGCCTGCAACATCAAATTCTGGGATGTTCACAATATCACATTTTCCTAATCCAAGGTTTGTTTGTTTTTTAAAACCACTTATCTATCGTATTTAAAATATGGATGTATTAGTGTTGCTAAAAACACAGGACCTAATATGTTTAACACGGGGCTGTTCAACTGGTGGCCCACAGATGGAGGGATTAAATAAGATTAAATTCCACCCAGCCACTTCTCCCCTCCTTGCTCTAGCTGCAGAAGCAGACATGGTCTTTAGGCCCCTTCTTCCTCCAGCTTCTCCTCACCTGCCTCAGGTAGCAGGAAGGTGCAATGTGGAGCAACCCACGGGTTGGGGTGCCTGAGAGGTGCAATGCAATAGGAAGCCTGGAGCTGGGGAGCTAAGAGTGAGGTAGGGTGCCTTGACTTGCTTGCAGCAGGGGAGAAGGGGGTGGTTGGGGAACCCAGGCATCCAGATACATGGTGCAGTGGGAGAGGGATATGTAGAGACACATGCAGTGTACAACCCCGGGTACCCATGGTCCCTGCTAGTGCAACCTGCGGGGTATGGCTTGGCTTCTTAGAAGCTGCACAGTCCTTGTTTAACAAATCCAACTTACACCCAGTCCTCTTGCTTTGTGTCTTCGGGAACTTTTACTGGCTTCTACAATAGCCTGAATTATGAATTTTTGGTGTATCCAACTTTATATCAGTCCCTCTCTTGAGCGAGATTGCACATGGCTGCAGAGCTGAGAAGTAAAATGTTCCTTAGAACTCTCCTAAATGTCCAGCACAAAGTTGGCCCTGAAATGAAAGAGATAGCATATGACCTCATTATGATGAACCCCTGTGGGACCAAGAGAAAAGTTCATTGAAAGACGATAATTGATATAGATTCATAGTTGTAGGGTTGGAAGGGACCTTGTAGATCTTCTAGTCCAACCCCCTTCTGTGGGCAGGAGAGAAAACTGGGCTCAAATGACCCCAGCCAGGTAAACGTCGAGCCTCCTCTTAAAGACCCCCAGGGTAGGAGCCAGCACCACTTCCCTTGGAAGTTGGTTCCAAATCCTAGCCGCCCTGACTGTGAAGTAGTGCCTTCTAATGTCTAGTCTTAACCTACTCTCTAGCAACTTATGGCCGTTATTCCTTGTTACTCTGGGAGGTGCTCGGGGGAACAGGGTCTCTCCCAAACCCTGCTGGTCCCCCCTAGTGAGTTTATAGATGGCCACCAGGCCCCCCCTCAGCCTTCTCTTGCAAAGGCTGAACAGGTTAAGGTCCCGTAGCCTCTCCTCATAGGGCCTGCCCTGCTGTCCCCAGATCATGCGGGTAGCCCTCCTCTGGACCCCCTCAATGCTGTCCACATCCTTCCTGAAGTGCAGCACCCAGAACTGAACACAGTACTCCAGCTGTGGCCTGACCAGTGTTGCATAGAGGGGGAGGATCACCTCCTTGGCCCTGCTTGTGATGCATCTGTGGATGCATCACAAGGTATGGTTAGCGCTACTGACCGTGTTCTCATATTGTTGGCCCATGTTCATCTTGGAATCAATAATGACTCCAAGATCTCTTTCTGCCACCATGCTTTCGAGAAGGGAGTTCCCCACCCTATAGGTATGCTGCTGGCTCTTACTGCCCAAGTGCAGCACCCTGCGCTTGTCAATATGGAAACCCATCCTATTTTCATTTGCCCACCCCTGTTACCTGTCCAGGTCCTGCTGTAATCTGTCCTTTCCTTCTAGCGTGCCCACCTCACCCCAAATCTTGGTGTCATCTGTGAATTTAAACAGGCTGCTCTTCACCCTGTCGTCCAAGTCACTAATAAAGAAATTGAACAGTGCGGGCCCAAGGACCAAGCCCTGGGGGACCCTGCTGCCCACTTCCCTCCAGGTCGAAAATGACCCATCCACCACCAATAATATAAGGTTATATAATACAGAACGAGAAAACCTTCTAAATGCAGACAGAACCACCTATAACAAGGTTGATCAATTTGTTGCATCATAATAATGGGGAAAACACTGATTCCTTCTGTTGGGATTGTTGGAAACGGGGCTGTGTTATAAACAAGGCTTGTAATACTGAAGCTATACTGTAATTCCAGAAAAATGACAAGTGGAATTGGGAATCTTTTATTAAGTTTAATAGGATTGATTCCATCTCTGAGCTTGAGATGCTCCAGCTTTTGCAGCCAGTTGTGATTACTTGTAGAGTGCAGTGTACTAGGCAGATCTAAGACCAAGTTGTAGCCTTAAGCCTCAAGCATCTCTCTTGGTCTTTGGCTCCCCTCTATTTTGTGTCTGTGGTTTCCATTCAGACTATAAGGTTTTATGAGAAGAGATTCTCTTTTAGTGTATGTACAATGCCAGGCACAAAGGTTCTGGGAAAGCAGCTGGCTACCAAGGCACTTATAAATGACACCAAAGGGCATCTTTACATGTGCTTCAGGGGTGGGGGTGGGGGCGCTTTAATTAGAGTGGTTCTTGGGAGCTGCTCTGATTAAAGTGCCTGCAGTGTCTTCTGTATTCAATGTCCTGCACTTCAAAATGGCAGTGGGGATGCTTTAATTAGAGCTCAGTGAATGAGCTTTAAAGCGCCCCTGCCATTTTGAAGTGCAGGGATGCTGAGTACATGAGACGCTGAGACTGCTGGAGCGTGCTAATTAGCATGCTCCAGCAGGCTGGATAAACTGAGTCTGCTCTGATGCGCTGTAATTACAGCATGTCATCCCGCATGTCTTCAGGCACCCAACGTAGGAATAAGAAATGCCCTAGCAGTCAAAGTGTTTTAAATCTGGTGGTTCAAGACTGTTGTGACAAGCACTTTAGAAATAACTTGGGAAGGTGAGTTTGAAGGTGGAGATATTTTCCAAAAGCATTTATCAGCATTAGCTACTATTAACCAAGTGTGTCATATGGTATCAAACATAGATACAATGTGCATTTTTCTCCCACTTTTTAGGCAGCAAATACCAAGTCAGTTCCCTGCAGTACCTCCAAGACCTCCAAGACCACCAGTCCCACCTAGACCAGTTGTCTGAAAAGCCTTCTGTGTGGTCCTCACAAATTCATCCAGGTGTCTTGAACAACATGAAAAAATGTGTCAAAGGGAAATTAATGAAATCTTGCTATTTTTCTTATCCCTGTTTCCTATATGAAGGTCTCAATCCTGCAATCCTTACAGTTAAATCTCGCATTGAAACACTATCCTGTTTCATTAGAAAAGGACTGGTTCTGGGATGCAGGGCATGTAACATGCAACTACTATTCACTGTAATGAAGGAGTTGTGTGCACTCAGGTCCTTCCAGGTATTTTTTATCAGAAGACACAAGGGCCAGCACTTCTTAGGTTGTATAAAACTACAATACAAATAACAGTGTCTTCCAAAACCTAACTTCTTGAAAGCACAGCACAGAATTTGCAGGTCAGAGAGTGGGAAATTTATGGTCAGTATTAGCCACCTGGAGTATCATCCTGATCTTAAACTACTCTTCGATTCCTGATATAATTTAGGCAGCAGAGACTTCACTGCCTCCAAGCAGCAGTACTATCTGGAATCTTTGCAGTGCCAGTGCTGTGTGTGTTATGGCCAAACCCCCATTCTATGCTGAGTTTTCCAAAATGATTCTTGGAAGGTGGCCTCAGAGCTCTTTCCCCCAGGACCCATTATAGGCTGAATCCTCCCAACATCCAGCTCAAGGGCCTTTAGGATGCTCCACCCTCTCTCCACTGTGTAGGGGGACCAGAGCAGAGGTAAGGACCTCATCCCTTTCCTTTCTTATTAGCAACACTACTGTTAAATTCAGCTGTTCTAAGCAAAAAAGATCCTGATGAAGGGAATAAGATGAAGGACTACTGCTCTTTAAACAAACTGCTATAAAATGAGCTAAGCTAAGAGGCCTTAGCATTTCTTTTTTATTTATTTTTTTCATATATTTGTGTTCAGTAGATACCAGGAAAAATCTGTAACTCTATACTAAATATTTGCTGGCAATTACAGAGAATTTTTTTTCCTATAAAGTCCTTTGTCCTCTGAAAGGGGCAGATAAATTTGCAATCCTTTATCTGACAATCAGCAAAGGGCACTGACTTAAAATAACTGAGATTACCTTGGCAAAATGACAGCTAATGGAATGGAAGCTGTGGAGAATCTACTATGTATAATGAAAGTGAAAACACAGTGGAGAAAAGAGAATATGTTACAACAGAAACCTTCTCTTGTATTTAAATATGCAATGGCTCTATGGATGGTGGATGATCTTCATGTGTGAAATTTGGAAACATGAACTAGCATTACAATTTACTGTATTCTAATTTAGACCAATCTCCTAAGGGAAGTCCTTTATATCAGCGGTTCTCAACCAGGGGTCCAGGAACTGCAAGCAGTTTTCAGAGGGTCCACTCAGCCTGGCCCTGCATGGGGAAGAGCCTCCTTAACTCCCCAAGGCTGAGGCGAGCCCTGAGGAAGGAACGGGCCCCGCAGCCTCCATCTTGTGGGTGGTGCTGTGGGCAGGCAGGCAAATGAGGCTCCGCACTGCTGCTGCCCAGGTGAGTAGGGCCCCAGGGCTTCCCACCACTAAGACCCACCTGCTGCACCCGGGACTGTGCAGGTGGGGCTGGGGAGCAGGACAGTTGTTGTGTCACAGGTGGGCTGTGGAGTTTTTATAGCATGCTGGGGGGCGCCTCAGGAAGAAGAAAGTTGAGAACCCCTGCCCAGTGTTATCTTTTTACAACTGAACTGAGCAGATCAACAGAAAATCTGTTGCAGGGAAAAATTCTGCACTGACAAGGGGCTGGAATGGATGAGCAAACATGTCTCTCTCCCACCCTAATTTCTCAGGATCTAGGGAAGCTGTGCATTATTATAAATGTTTGTTTATTTCAGTTTTTAATAATATAAAGTAATATTATGCTGCCAAGATCTTAGCACCAATTATGTCTGCAGGATCGTGTTGTGAAATAGGAAATATAAAATTGACTGAAGACAGTTCTATACCTTTGTAATATACACAGCAGG